TCCTGCCATTCCTGTATCTCCTCGTGTGGCCGTTTCGCGAGCTTATCCGTCGCTTTTAGCAAAGACATATTGGTAGCGGCCCATATGGCCGTCGGCGGATTCGGCCCGATACTGATACCGTTCGCGGCCGCCGCGGCTGCCAGTTGAACGTAATGACTAGGGAGAAGGAAAACTACCTGTCCGTCCGGTAGCCTGGAGGGTATCACTTGCACGACCGACAGCATGTTCGGATTTTGCTGGGAGCTCGAAGCCTGATCGATTACCGATGATATACCGGCACCGGACGGAGGGGCAGGGACGGGAACTGGGCCTGGACCAGGGACAGGGATCGATACCGGGACTGTCTGGTGATGTGTATCAAGGTTATTGCCGTTAACCTGGCCGAAGGCAGAGGTTGGTCGGCTGTTGCCGTTGCTACTGCTGTTGCTGTTATTGTTGTTTTCATCGCCAGCGGTAGTGCTACTGTCCGGTCTGGCTGGTTCGATATCCGGGATTTCGGCCTTTATCAAGCCGACGCCGCCACCACCGACCGGATTCAGAGCCGTGCTGCTGCAATGCGCGGTCGATGGCACATGACCATGCTCCAACGGACCGGGACTGCCCGCGCCCGTCACTCGATCCGTCACGCTTCCGGGACTGCTGCCTAATCCGCTGTCCGGCCTCGAACCCAGATCCAAGTCTAACTCGGACACGCAACTGTCCAAGTGTCGTAGTAACCTCTGTTTCACCGCGGGGTCCATCGGTGTCGTGTTTCCGGTGATTATGTCCGGAGCATCGAGGTACCGGCTCACCTGAAACGCACAGCCAAACCGAAAGTATATACGTCAGTGGAACGATACACCGGACCGACTGTCTCCCGCTTTTTTTCTTTTTTCTTTTTTTTTGGTCTTTCATTCCCTCTCACTTTCTCCTTATCCTCTCGCTCGCAGAGTGTTCGCGTTCTCAACTCGAGATCGATCTTGCGGTGCAAGTGCGGCACCAATCGTCGTCGAATCGAGCCTCGCCCCGCGCGTACATACCTCTCTGGAACAGTCCTGGTATCCAGCCTTGTATCTCGACAGGCCAGGCTGGGCGAGTGATCTCTGCCTCTGCAGATGCCGAACCGTCAACTCCAAAATGTCCGCTTTCTCAAGTTTACTGTGCTTCGTGTTCTCCAGCCGGGCGCTGTCAAGGATGAGCGCCTTCAGCGCCGCCAACGACTGATTGATTCTCGCTCGCCGTCGCTTTTCCATTAGTGGTTTGTTTGCCTGAAAAATAACCAAGCTGCTGCAACACAGTGGTACGCGCGATACAATAGACGCACGCGGTTTTATTCGCTGGACCAACCAAAAGGAGAACTAACTTCAGTTTCGCACAACGGAACGTGGTTGTTTCAACAACCACCCCTGCGATAGTCTAATCTTCGCACGACGCGCTTTGCTATCTTGCTCGAATCCACGAGACGTTCGTGCTGATCGTACGTATACGAGGATACAGCAACGTTCCGTCGTGTTCCCGCGCTTTTCCACCCACCGAGTAATTACTGCGAGATCACTCGTGAAACCTAATCGCGTAAAACGTGCCGGGGCTGGAGAGAAATAAGGTAAAGCGAGACGAGCAATTAGCAATTCCTACGTGAGACACGGTCAGAACTCTAAAGTGCAACGAGAGAAAGTATCCTATGGTAAGAAACAAGGATAAATGGATGAAAGTAGAAAAAAGTGACGCGACGAAGGAAATGACAATTTACTCACTCGACGACCGTCCGAGTGTTTAGGGCTCGGGCTTAGGCTAGGACTAGGGCTGGCTGCCGGACTCGGTCCCTGATGCACGTTCTGTTGGTGTTGAGATTGTTGTTGCTGTTGGTGCTGCTGCTGCTGCTGCTGCTGCTGCTGTTGCTGGTGATGATGATGATGATGGTGGTGGTGGTGATGATGTTGTCTGTGACTGTTGCCGGCCGATTTCTTCTCTTGATGCCTCAACGAATGAAGACGCGCGGTCATCTTAGTAGGCCACGCGGGGCCTTGGCTGCAACGACGATAATGGGAACGATGATAACGATAATACTGGCAACGATACTAACAACAACGATAACAGTAACAACGACGATGACGATGTCGACAACGATGGTGATGGTACTGGCGATGGCGATGACGACCACGGCCACGTCCGCGACCACGGCCACAACCGCGACCACGACCACGACGACAATGAGCACGACGTCGACGACGGCGACGACGACGACGACGGCGACGACGACGACGACGACGACGACGAC